TGGGTCACTTTCATCAGCAGATGACGGCTGTTTTTTGTCGGCCTGTACTCGGGCTGTGACCATTTTGACCCGATTTGAAGAGAGTGGTCTCATGATCTGAGCCAACCCTGACCTCGGAGCAAACCCAAATTACTGCAGGTCCAAGTGAAACAGCCTTGGTCCTGTGGGGCGATGGACCTGCGAGTCCCATCATCAGGATGAACATTTCGAAACATGATAATCCGGAATAGACTGAGGGCAAGTTTGCATTGAATGTAGACAGATTGGGATTTTGTCGACACCTGTGAACTTGGGGATAGGTATCTTCATATCAGATGCGGCCGTTACATGATTGCTGGGGAGACTTTCATTTCGTCTGAAGGTACATGAAGAAGAGATCGTAGTTTGATCTCACCCGAAGACTGCAGCCGCTTGGCTTTAATACGACTTTCAGGTTGACGCGCTCCACGAGACATCCTCGCTCGCTCTAGGGGAAAACGGGCTTAGCTTTCGTCCATCATTCGATGGTCATCATCAGAGCGGACCTGGCGAAATGGAGGTCTCCCTAACAATGCTATCTTAGGGGATTCGACGAAGCCCAGTTACTATTTGTGCTACAAGATTGTGGGCTCCTGTTGATGACCTTATATTGTTGCGACCTGTCGGCCGATCCACCAAGTATTAGTAGGGCACAAAATGCATACAAAGTCAGAAGTGGTTGAGTACAGCGTGGATACTGGACATCAGATAAAATGTTCTCCGATGCATAGGTTTGCAATATGTTCTGCTTGGCCCCGATTTTTGATAATAACTACATGGCAAAAGTTTGAGGAACGCATAATGCAAGAGATAATTGTGATTCATAAATTGCTTGTTAGAAATTTTGCAACATGGTACATGAAGGTGATTTGCTAGTTGCCAATTTTCGCTTAGCAAGCATAACAGAAATATTCAGTCCACAATGGAATTCAAAGAAAATATGGTATTGAGGTTGGTTGACTTTATTTTCGCAGCATCGTCATATTGGTTGGAAGACTTGGAGGAACGCACCAGTCCGGAATCCATTTTCTGCATGATTATTTCTAAAGTTGAACCGTGGACGTGGTACATTCCCAAACGTTTCGCCGGCATCGTAGTCGGCATCATCAGTGAGTACTGCCATTCTTAGCAGCACACAATAACTCGTCAAAGAGACTCGTCTCTAGGTCTTTCCACCACTGACCAAGTTACGAAGACAAAGTCAAACAAGTTCTATAAAACGCACTGAGACTGCGACCATACAAAATGCCACATCATCTTGGTTTTTATAGCTTGGATTCAACCCGGATAGTTGGATTATAC